ATGGCAAGGCTCACTGATGATGCCGACTACGATGCCGGCGAAACGTTTGAGAATGTATCAAGTCTACTGTAAGATGCTGGGAATCCAGACGACTACTATGGCAGACGACTTCGGATTCGGTGCGTTCTACATAGTCGTCCTGAACACAAGACCAAGTTGCGACGAGGTCAACCCACTCCTATAAATCGAAAGGAGACTGCGATCCTAACAGAGTCCACAACATCTTGGTCTTCATATCTACTGTTAATCTATGTTTTAAGCGTGTTGGGGAGACCTTCCATTCGTATGAAAGTGCATGAAGAAGAGATTCGAAAGTCGTTCTCACCAAAATAGAATGGCCAATTCCAGTTGTAATACAGCCATTTGGTTTGAATACGACGTTCCGGCTGACGCAGTCCATGAGCTCTCTTCCCTAGTTTCGCGTGAAAATAAATAGAGATTCTTTTTTGTGTATAAATAGAGTTTCGAGACTGAAACTCATTCCTGTAAAATTCTCACGTAATACAAGATCAAGAAGACTGTCCAGGCCTATCTTACCTCTTCTGTATATTCATAAGTAAAAAACGAAAATATTTTCGTATAGATAGAAACAGAATGGCCTGACTAACTTTCTTCATGGTTGTCATTATACTTTTACTCCAGTGTGATTGCGTGCGTGTTAACGTCTATACGCAAATACTTATCCTAAATCAGAGTGATCAAAAAACTCTAATGGCAGGATCCTGTTATCAAGGTTTGATGGCCCAAGTAAAATTCCCGACCGAGGCTGCGTAAGTCAGTGAGCGTCTCTGGTTGGGTTAATGAAAGGTAAGCTTGTAAGCGTGTACGTCAAGTTACAAAACCACCAATCATAGCCAGTGAGTCTATGTTCATTAAGTTATAGCTCGGCTCATCGTCCTACTACCCCGATGACTCCGTGCTGAGATTTCGTCCGTCAAGTGACGGACATCGTCAGAGCCAGAAACCATTATTCACGAACAATCACCAAAAAACCTAAACCAAAGCAAGCCACCTTCGATATTCGGTGAGGCCAATCTACGAATTGTTGAACCTACTTCCATCTCGAGTAAAAGTGTTTGATGAAGAGATTCGAAGGTCGATTCCACCAGAAGACGACGGCGGATTCCTCGTGATCACCTGTCGATTGGCTTTAGTGGAACATACGATACATCCTCTCTAATTTTGGATGAAGACTGGCTGAGCTCTCATCCGTTATATGATGGGCATCGTCACAGCTGGAACTAATTATTGTAAAAGTCTCAAGTCAAGACCTGTTAAAGAAATCATTTTTGACAGTGGACCGAACAATTTATTTGACATAATATTAACTTGAGACTTCTACCAGAGTGAGTTATAACTCTGATTATGTCAGCCATATGATGATCGAAAACTCAACCATTTTCTACCCGAAAGAGGGACGATGTCTCGTCGATTGCGCAAACCTGAACGCCGTATTAAAGATAAACGGCTGCAATGCAACGCGATTCATCCGTCCTCTTCTGGTGAGATCGACCTACAAATTTCTTCTTCATGCACTTTCATACGAAATGAAAGTCTCCCCAACAATATTATCTCAGGAGATTTATCGTAACTTAGTTTCTCTTCGTATGATTTAACAGTTTGCACATTATAAATTCGACTAAATTGCCCTTATTTTATGATTTTAGCAGTTACTCATAAATTAGGGTCCATGATATCTCTTCCTGACTAATTTTGAAAATATTCTTGTCGTCTTGTCATAATATTGAAAGGGTTTGAAAATACTATAAATTCTTCGGAATCATGAACTATTCATCATACCCACTGACTTGGCTCTGTACTCTTGAGGTTTAAATTTATGTTTTGGATGATCTGGCCAGAATAGTTTACAAATATATTGCTTGAAGCCTCTGATGAGTCAAAACATGAAGTGACTGGCCATTTTGTGCTTCGCGTCGAGGATGGGGGTCTATTGGAAGAAAAAATGGAAACAGACCTGGAGGCCATCTTTCCGTTATGCCCTTCCCCGCCGAATTTGATCTGGCGCCATGCCTCCTTTCCAACTTTGGCCCTCCACCGGGCCCACTAAGGCAAAGCCACTAAGGCAGCCGTGGGTTGAGAAGCCACTAGTCTCGTGTATCTCACATGGCTTGTGACTAAAAGGAGCAAGAGATGTGCTCTCATATCTGAACGGGCGGATCCTAAGTTTGAGTCCTACTGGGAGCTAAATAGAAGTCTGGTAGAAGGAAAAACTGTGGCTTCCTCGAGGAGTGAAAGTTCTATTAGCAAAAAAGCCGTATCAAATTAACTGGAAAATAAATATTGTCCCTTACACTTGTATTTAAATGTTTAATTAACCGTGTCAACAGCGCGATAAGCCAATGGTACAGATAATAAACTATTTGATCTTTGATCCTTCCAACCAAATTTCCACTAACCTTTATTTGGTCTGGTTTCGCCTGAACCCATGTTGACGCTATTTTCCAGCCGCCCAAAGT